TTTAGAAGAAATGGACCAATTTCTGGAAAGTCGCAAATTGCCAAAACTGACCCAAGGAGAAATAAAACAATTGAACAGCCCTATGTCAAAGAAATTTAGTTCATAATTAAAACTTCTCACTCAGAAAACTTTAGGCCCAGCTGTCTTCTTTCTTGTATTATTTCAAATGTTGAAAGAATACCAGTCACAGCACTACCCAAATTCTTTGGTTGTGTAACTGCTTAAGGCTTGCAGTGCCCTGATACAAAACCAAACAGACATTGAAAGAAATGAAAACTACATACCGGTATCCTTCGTGATGATAGATGCAAAAATCCTTGACAAAATACCAGCAAATCTAATCCATCAGTGTACAAAAAAAGAATATTATATCATGGCCAAGTACTGTTTACCCCAGGAGTGCAGGGTTTAAGATTTGAAAATCAACATGGTAATTTACATTATTAATGGAATAAAAGTATAAACAAGTGATCATTTCAATAGATGGCAGAAAAGGCATGTGACCATATAAAATACCCATTATCATAAAAACTCAGCAAACCAGAAGCATAAGATAACTTCCAAAACCTAAGGAAAGGTACCTAGGAAAAACTACAATGTGCATCATAGTAAATGGTGAACTGCTGAATGCTTTTCCTCTGAGATCAGGAACAAGGCAAGAGTATGTGCTTTTACCATTTTTATTTAACACTTGTTTAAATAAGAGTCCTGTGGATTGGAAAGAAAGAAGTGAAGCTCTCTTTATTAGCGGAGAACGTAATTGTGTATATAGATTAGCATAAGAAACCTACAAAAATGTGCTTGAACAAAAATGTGAATTTAGTTATTTACACAGCTCAGTATGCAATCAACTTTATTTCTCTATATCAGCAGTTAATTGGAAAATGAAATTTTAAAACAATTTGTTATATCAACAAAACTTAAAATATTTAGTAATGTAATGATAGATGTGCAAGCCCTTTACATTGAGAAGTACAAAACATTGCTGAGGGAAATTAAAGAAGACCTAAATAGATAGATACTCTTTGTTATGTTTGGAAGAATCAATATTATTTAGAGTATTTGGGGATGGTTTCCATTTTTTGAGTCATTGGAGTTCCAATCAAAATCCCATAGGCTTGTTTGAAGAAAATGACAAGTTGATTCTAAAATTTATTGGCCAAAACAGTTTTTTAAAAGGTTTGAGGTTATGTACTACCTGCTATTGAGACTTTCTGTAAAGCTGCAAGTAATCAGGACAATCCAGTATTGGTGTATGGATACACTTTTCTGTCAATAGACTAGAACAGAGTTTGGAAAAGACCCACACTTGTATGGTAAATTGGTTTTCGACCGTGGCACAGGGATAAATCATTGGGAAAAAGGTAGTCTTTACACCAAATTGTGCTGGGCAACTAGATATCTGTATGGAACAGTGAACCTTGATCTGATCTCACTTTACACAGAAATCAACTAGCAATAAGTCATTATCCTAAATGTAAGAGTTAAAAATAAAACTTCTAGAAGAAAACACAAATTCTAGGTGACACTGTGTTGGGCAAAGATTTCTTAAATGGGATACAAAAAGCGCAAGCAATAAAAGACACAAATGAGTTGACTTCCTCAACATTTAAACATTTTGCTCTTCAAAAAAAGGAAAATGAAAAGGCAATCAGGAGACTAGGAGAAAATATTTACAAAACATAGCTGACAAAGACTTGTATCCAGAATATATACACAATTGTAAACTCAGTAATGAGAAAAACAATCTAGTAAAAATGAGTGAGCAATTTCAACAGACACTTGACAAAATACATGAATAAACCCAATATCACTAGTCATCAGGGTAATATAAATTAAAACCTCAGTAAGTTACTACTTTATACTCTCTGGAGCAGTAAAATTAAAATTATTGATGATGCCAGGTATTAGTGAAGATGTAGAACTGTAACTCTCATACAGTGTTGCTGGTGAGAGAACATAATATTGTATAGCCACTTAGAAAAACAGTGTGGCAATTTCTTGGGAAGTTAAATGTACAGTTAACATGTGGCCTAGCAGTTCTTTCCTAGGTATCTACCCAAATGAAATGAAAAATACAGACTTGTATGTGAATGTTCACAGCAGCCTCACTCATAATAGCCTCAAACTGGAAATAACGCAGTTATCTATCTACTGGTGAATCCATAAATAAATGTATATACATATTATGTAATACTATTCAGCAATACAAAGGAATGAACTTTTGATATATACACACCAACAACATGGGTGAATTTCAGAAACATCATGCTAACTGAAATCAGTCCAACACAAAAGTCTACATACTGTATGATTTCAGTCATATGGAATTCTAGAAGGGCAAAACTGTAGTGGTTGCCTGGGACTCACAGTCTGGGCAAGGAATTGGCTGTAAAGAGGCAGGAAGGAACTTTCGGAGATGATGGGAGTATGTTGATTGTGGTGGTGGTTACATGGCTGTCTATAGTTCGTCCAAGTTCATCAACCTCTACACTTAAAACGGGTGAATTTTATTATACCTCACTAAAGCAGTTGGAAAAAAATCATATTGGTAGGAAATACTTTTATTTATATATACTTTAAAAATTTTCAGTAGGTTTAAATGGATTTCTCGAAACTATACTGTAACTTGTTTCAAATAAGTTGCACCTGTGAGAAGGCAGAAGCGAGCTAAAAGGACAAAGTAATGAGGTGGCCGGGACTGCTGTTGGTGTTCAGGGAAGGCTTTTCTGATGAAGGGACATTTGAGCAGATACAGATGAAGTGAATTCAGTTCAATCAAAGAAGTGTCTTCACATGTATCTTGTGCATCTTTATTCACTTTGTATCTAGGCGTTTTGCAGTTTCTGTTACTAATTACAAATGAGATCTTTTCCTTATCTGTTGCATTAGCTATAATAATCCTTAAATTAATCTTTGTTTTCATCTTCATTTGTCTTTTGTCTCCTATTTGTTAATGCCTTGAGGACAGTAAGTATACACTTTTTACGCACTGTTAATTTATAGCTCTACCTCTGTGCTGTGTTTACAGCATGTCCTCGGTACTGCGTTTTCATGGTTTTTACTGAGACTAAGCAGATCCTTGTTGTATCTGTTAATCTTTGTTTTTCCTAGCTCAGTATAGCACCAAAATGCAAGTAGCACCTAAAAAAAGGCCTAAAGTGGAAAACCAAAGATGCTGGTGCAATTTCATGTAACATAATTTCAATCTTACTGTCAAATGGAGCGAGTATAGGATGCGCGTAAGACTGTTTGCTGGCACCTTTAAAGACACCCCTGGTGGATTCAAAGGTGGGAGAAATGAAAGAAGGTATTCTGAAACCCCACAGATTAAGAAAGAAGCAGCTGATTGGTCAGGTATAGATTAGAAATGGAAGTCTTGGCAAGATTCATCGTTTCATTCGAATAAAAGGGGTTCTTTTAGATTTCATGCCTGTCTTAGTCTCCATACATAAGGGAGGTGGGTGTCTGAGACTTGAGGGCTCAGCATAAGCTGTCCAAGTGAAAACATTTGTCGCTCAAGTTCGTGCCTTACCAGTAGATGGCAGCAAAATGCTTTGTTTAAACGTTCTTGCTTTCTTTAAAGTCTCACAGTGTATAGGTACTGTATCTTTTTTTTTTTTAGAGACGGCCAAGGCAGATAGAATACTCTTACTTTCTTTAAATTGTAATATGACCACTGGGTAGTATCAGTTTATACTAAATGATTTTAGAAATTCAACTGATACAGCTTTCCTAAAAATGTTAACTTTTTACAGGTTTTGTTAGCAACTACTTCTTAATTGTATTTTTTATTCTCTATAGTATTATTAATATTTTGTATGGAGTTTTCTGCCTCATAGATTTTTCTAAGGGACCCAGCTACCATCATATAGTTTAGAACTAAATAACGTTTAGGTAAACAATAAAGGAGTGTTTTAATCCTTTAACTTTGGATACTTTCTGTTTATTTGGAAAACACTCATGAATTTCTCTCTTCCATGAATAAACTAGAAATTAAGGGAGCATTTTAACCCTAGGTAGTTAGGCCTGACCAATTTATTTTCACCTGAGATTGTTGGCCCCCAAGACGTGACCTACATAACAGGAGGGAGCACTTCTTGCCCCTTTTCTACCCACTGCCCAGGAAGGCCAGTGGGATGAGAGCCACACAGAACTGACCCTTGGCTTCAGGGAAGATCGGGGCAGGTGACAAAAGTCTGTGATGAAGAGTCACACAGCCGATTGTCGCTTCTCTTTCTTCCTTTAACTTTCTTTCCAGAAATCAGTCCATTTAGGAGAGCATTTTGCAACTGTTATAGAAAATATCTCTACAGGGCTGAGGTTTCTCCCAATTTTTCACACAACATGCTACTTAATTCTTAGAAACTCCAAAATTCTTATAAAACTAAGAATCCACAGAATAGTCTCTTATCTTAGGAAAAAATGATTTATCAAGATCATTTAACATATATCTTACGTGCTTTGGAATTTTTACAGACCACAGGTTTTTTTTTGTTTGTTTTGTTTTTTTTACCTAATACACCCTAAAACAACACAGCCTGCCAGACCACAGTACATCCGTCCTTTAGAGCAGCAGATGTTGCTACACATGCTTCTCTTTAAGACCAAGAAGCACAAGAGAAAACAAAAAGTTCAAAACTGAAGAGAAACATGAAACAATACAGAGATGAGAGAGCCGAGTAGCCAAAAGCAGTTGGTTAAATTAAGACCGAGAGGGGCTGTGGCCATCTGAACACTTTGTTTTTGCCTATCTCTTAAATACTCTGTAGGTCATTTTCGTTCTGTTAACCCAGGTTTGATGACTTTCTATCAAAATTTATTTTCTGTGAAAACTATGCTTCAATTAAACTGAGAAAGAAATACTTGATGTCCATTACAATCTTGAGTCATTTCACATTTTTTTTTCCTGGGAATGGGCTTAAATGCTCTGTGCCGTGGTAGAGTTCATTGTTTTGTCTTCGAGTCTGCTAATGTTTTCATTTTGGTTTTAACCCTAGCCGATCCAACAGTTAAGGACTTGATCGGAGGCTTCACTGCTCTTCATTATGCAGCCATGCACGGCCGGGCCCGGATTGCACGCCTGATGTTAGAATCTGAATACAGGAGCGACATTATTAATGCCAAAAGCAATGATGGCTGGACTCCCCTCCATGTGGCTGCTCACTATGGTAGGGACTCATTTGTCCGACTCCTACTGGAGTTCAAGGCTGAGGTCGACCCACTCAGCGATAAAGGCACCACCCCCCTTCAGCTCGCCATCATCCGAGAGAGGTCAAGCTGCGTGAAGATCCTCCTGGACCACAATGCCAACATCGACATCCAGAACGGTTTTCTGTTGCGATACGCTGTGATCAAAAGCAATCACTCTTACTGCCGAATGTTCCTTCAGAGAGGAGCAGACACAAACTTGGGTCGCTTAGAAGATGGACAGACTCCTTTGCATTTGTCTGCCCTTAGGGATGATGTGCTTTGTGCACGGATGTTATATAACTATGGAGCGGACACAAACACAAGGAACTATGAAGGACAGACCCCATTGGCTGTTTCAATAAGTATTTCTGGAAGTAGTCGACCGTGTTTGGATTTCTTACAAGAAGTCACAAGTATGTAATTTAATTATTAATCTTACTGCATTTTTAAGAAATTTTCATCTTCTGGGGGCGTGTTTCAGATGTGTTTACAACTTAAAATGAGCAGACGCTAATGATTCCTATCAGCCCTGCTTATTAATAAGTTATTAATAATGTGACTCATGCCTCATTCATCTGAAATAAAAAGAAAGCTCTGTATCACAAGATTTCATACAAATTCAATTGTGTTACTAAAAGTAATAGGGATAGATAAGCTGAGAGTGGAAATGTAGGAAGGGACAGAGAAAGGAGAAATTGTTAAATTCACAAAGATCTCTGTTAGAACAAGACAGTTCTTACTGGTCATACACATAGTCATTCGGGCTTTCATGGACTTCTGATTGAAGAATTAGAAGGAGAGCGTTGGACTTTAGGTTCCATAGCTGTGGAAGTGTTCTAGAATTGGTGCTTCAGTGCTAAGCTGTTGCTCCACGTCTTATTGTTGCTTTTCTGGCTTCCCGGGATGTGACCCCACATGGGATGAACAGCAGTGTTCCTGAGCGAGGGATCCTAGTAATGCAGGTTACAGATGCCAGAAGCTGTTGTAAGATGAGATTTGTCGTCAGTGGGAGATTTGGTACTACGGCCCCGGACCCTTGTGGCTTCCACTTCTGACCTGTTTTGGTACGGGCGCTTCTGAAAGCCTGGGAATGTGTGCCCCACCTTGCGTGGTGGTGCACGTTTGCATTGTTTCTCTGGTAGGGGTATTGGTCTGTGTGTGGGTATAGCCACCCTCCCTTTTCAGGCTTCCTCTGCAGCTCGTCGAGGTGCGTCTCGGAGCTCAACATCCAACCCGAGGCTCAAGTCGGTAAACGACATGCTTGATTTCACCGTCTGCTGCACTCTTTCATGAATTCCCTTTTCCTCGCCTGCTTTTTCCCTTTCAGTCATTATCATGGAAGAACAAATACACTGTGGGTACCGGGTACTGAGGGGTAAGGAGTTGACTCGACCCTATAAATAATCTACCTCCTGCTTGAAACTGAACTTGGGAGTGGAAATCTTATGAACAAATGAAGTGTAATTTGGATTTTGTGTGCTTATGAAAAGGAAAAGATGGCATTGTTACCACTGGGTGTCTGCAGACCAGAGCCTCAAAAGAAATCACCCTCAGCATCTAACTTAGGCTGTCCACTTGGCCTGTGTGTGGCGACGGAAACGGCCTGTCCGCACTGTCCAGTATGGTAGCTGCCAGCCCTGGCCCCGTGTGGCCAGTGTGCACGTGTTATGTGCTTAATGCCACTGAGGAACGGAGTTGGTCATTTATCTGTATTAATTGAAATTTAGATGGCTACAAGGGCCTGGTGGCTCCTGTGTTCTACACAGATTGTCTGCCTTGGGAGCAGGGTTTTGGGCTGACTGGTGGGTGATCCCTCAAAGAAAGTTTTTGAGACACACGACATACCGAGACACAGGGGATGTCCTCTGTGGTGTTTCCTCACCAGCTTACTCTGACTCTTCAGATCCAGGCCGCATCTAACGAGAAGTGTGCCGTGACATTTCCAGTGCTGGTTCTCTCAGCCAATTTTCTAGCAGTCTTCATTCGTAGACTGGGAGGGGTATTGGTGTTATGAGAGAGGATATTACTCTGAAACTTCAGGTTAGGATTCTGTCCTGGAAAAAGCCTGTGAAGTATCTCTTACTCTTTCGGCATTCTGAATATCTTCTTGTTGTTGCTTTCGTTTTTGTTTTAATTTCTCACTCGAGACTCCTGGTTAAATTAATGTGACTGCCTCAGCCCCTTTTGTTAAATATTTTGCTCAGCAGTTAAAGGCATCGACTAGAGCTGGGCTGCCCAAGCTCAAGCCCCAGCTCTGCCACCTGTCCCCTGTGACCTTGGGCAGGTTACCCAACTGCTCTGCCACAGTGTCCTCATGGGAGCATTAGGATAATTATATCTGTCTTACAGGCTTGTTGTGTGGGTTAAATGAGTTAATGTTTGTAATGTGCTTAAAATAGCACCTGGCACATTTTAAGTGCTATATATGTTTTTTAAAATATGAGAGTGGATGAACAGCAAGGCCTGGCTTGCTGCCAATAGAGTGAATCCCTTAGATTCTTACTCTCCCCCAGCCTCCTATTTTTTAGCTTGGTGGACTGTTATTCCCCTTACCTTCCCCTGTGCCAAATGTGAACTCCCCTAGTCACTGTATGGATGAAGGAGTTATCCAGAATGAAAAATCTTTTAAGAGAGAAATTCCACAAGAAAGCTGAACCTCGGGCATAGACTAGCAAGAACTTTTAAACTTACGGGGGGTACAGAAGGCATTTTAATGACCTGCATGCCTGGAATTTTGTTCGGAGACAAGCAGCGTAGAACTTAAGTTTGGGGGCAAAGCCCACTTCTGAATTCTCAGGCACAGATTATGCCTGTGGTAGGGACGGACTTTCTTCAGCCAGCCACCTCTGCAGGAGAAGGCCTTAGGCCTGAAAATCTCTGGTAATTGCAGTTCCTTGTGTCCAAGGGTCTGGAAATCAGAGGAGGGTTTTAGAGAACAGAGTAGAGAGGGCGGAAAACGATACGGCTTCCTGCTGGAGAGTGCCACTTGAAAGGAGGCTGCTTCCATGTCTGATTGGCCAGCCTCTTTGCAAAACAGGTGCCGTGTTGTGCTGCCTGCCCAGGAAATCCTTCGATTGTAAGGCTTGTTACTCTTTCTGCACAAGAAGGAAGCATTCAGAAGGCAAAGTGGAATCCAAGACCTGGACAAGCAGCAAGGTGAAAAGCTGTTGGAGGGGTCGGCTTGTCACCATTCCTCCCTTTGCCAGGGACCTGCACATCTCAACTCACTGTGTGGAATCTATCTCTGTGGGGCTGCTCTTTCATCGAGGCATTAGAGAGGCAAGATTTTACTGTTACCGTCTACCATCTTCATCAGTTTCAACAGAGCAATCATAAGTTAAATTGCCTGTCTGATAATTCCAACATCTGTGTCATAGCTGAGTCTGTTCCGATGCTTGCTTTGTCTTTCCCAACTGTTGTTTTTTTTCTTGCCTTTTAGCATGTCTTGTAACTTTTTATTGAAGCCAGACAGGATGGATCAGGTAAGAGGAACAGAGGTAAATAGGCCTTTAAATGTCAGGTTCTGTGTGAACCTGGCCGGGATCTGGGCTGCGTGCCATGTCTGCTGGAGCTGTAGGTCCTGGAAACTTCAGTCCCTCCTGCGTCCTCGGTCTTGTCTCCCCTCTTGACTTTGGGCTTCTCTCTGTCCTCCTCCTCTTCCCTCACACAGCTTGGTGAGACAGTTAGAACAGTTCTCTGACTCCAGCACCCAGAGTCTTTCTCCAGGTGGGATAAGACTCTGGTCAAGTCTTTACCCTTAGAGAACAGGCCTTTGTTATGGAGAAGGTTCTGGGTGTAGATCCCATGATTATTCTTAACCCTCTGCCAGAGCCACAAGGGGGTTTTTATTAGCTATTCACTATGACAACCTGGTGGGGTTCCTGAAAGTAAAATGGAGAGAACGTGGCAGGTTGGGGGGGGTTGCTTCCTAAGACCGTGACCCTCACTGTCAGGCCAGTCCACACACAGCCTCAGGTAACTCGTCAAAATTACCATTGAAGTGTTCCTACGAGTTTATGGCTCCAGCAGCTTGTGCTCCAGGTTCGCACATCTTAGCGGTCACTCGCTGGATTTGTTTCTCTCTCCTGACTGTGTGGTGGTTTGCGCTGTGAGGTCTGTTCACTGGTGGGCGAGTCCAAGGCAAGTCACTGATTTTGCGTTTGTTCAGTGTTTTCTTCTTACAAGAGCAGGAGTGATGACTTCCAAGCTCCTTACATGCTCAAGAGCTAAAACTGGAAGTCAGTTCATTAGTTTTGTTGTTTTTACGTAAAAAGTGAACAACAGCCTATTCATGGTCATTTGGGCTGAGTAGCATTTCGCCCCCTGGAATTCAGAGGCACAGCTCTCCTGTATACGATCCTGAAGATCTCTCAGCTCTGCCTGTGTCAGAGGTGTTGTTAAATTAGCTGTGTCTAGTGGTAGAGAGAGCAGCTAATGGGCTCTTGACCCCGAGTCTGACATGCCTGAAAACCTTGGGCAAGCCGCTTAGCCTCCCAGCTCCCCCTGATTCTCAGTTACCCTCTCTGAAACATGAGGGAATTAGACCACAGTCCTTGGGGTCTCCCCCCTCCTTTTTAAAATTCTTGCCGGTAACCACTCTTAAAGGGGATGATTTCCTGCCGTTTGTGATTTTATTTTATGATTTATGTAGAACAGTGGTTTTCATAGTGTGGCCTCTTGGGGGGTCCTCAAGACCATTTTAGGTGCCCATGAGGTCAAAACAGATTTCATAGCAGCGCTGAGATGTGATTCGCCTCTTTCGCTGCGCTGTCATTTGACTGATGGGGTAGGAGCAATGGTGGGTCAAACTGCTGGCTCCTCAGTGTTAACCGAGGCAGTAGCCCCAAATGGTACACGTAGTTCTTGAGTTCTTCACCACCAGGCAATCTCACTAAAGAAGATTTCCAGTTCCACTTAGGGATGTCTTTGACAAAGCAGTAAAATTAATCCCATTAAATCTGATCCCTCTGAGTACATGCCTTTTTAATATTCTGTGGAATGGAAATTGAAAGTATTCTTACTGCATACCAGAGTGCTGTGATTGAATTGACAAAAAGCACTTCTTCGATTTGTTTGAGCTGAACCAGCAGCTTTTTTTGTGGAGCACCCATTTTTACCTGGAAGATTGACTGACAGCCAAACGATAGCTATTTAGTCTTGGCTATTTGGCAGACTTTCTTGTCACGTTAAAGGAAAACAATTGACGGTATTTATGACAAGTCATAAAATTTGAGCTTTCAAGTGAAAATTAGAATTTTGAAAAGCTTGTATTTGCTACTGTGACATTGGCAGGTTCCCAATATGCAAAGACTTTTTTGAGATAAGCGGCAATACTAACAAAAGTGGTTTTTTTTGATACTATTTAATGAAATGGGTCAACATTTGGAAGATCTCCATAACCTAGTGAGCCAAT